CCTAAACCCTCAACCCCAAATCCCTATACCGGAAACCCCAAACCCTCATCCCTCAAACATAATATCCATCATGCGGTTCCCCTCCTTTCGGTGACCCTGTTTTTGGGTCCTGTTTAACAGGCCTCAACGATCTGCTCGACCTGCTGATGCACGACGCGGGGCTGCTTGATGATCTTGGGCACGTGCACAACCTCGAGATTCCGCTCCCCTCAGGCTTGGGTCCCTAAACCCTAAACCCTAAACCCCTAAACCCTAAACCCTAAACCCTAAGGGTCTTTAGGGTTTAGGGCTTGAGGGCTTTAGGGTTTCAGGTCATAAGGCTTTGGGGGTTGAGGGGCTTGAGGGCTTAAGGTTGCGAGTCTTTCGGCATGGGGACCTGGCGTAAGGGCTGTGGTCTAAGGCTTGGGTCTACAAGGCACTTCTCCGACTTATCCCTGTAGCCTTGTATCTGCTGGGGCCCTTAACGGCTCATGCCTCAGCTTCTTTACGACCCTACTTCCTAAGCCCCAAACCCAACTAGTACACTACGAAAAGCCTAAAAGCACACCAGGCTAGCAAGACCGTACAGCTCCCCAAAACCGCCCACAGCAACTCCAGCAGCCCCACCTCCTCCTGGGTCATGGGGACCGGCACCTCGACCACTTGCTCCACCTGCTGCTGCTGAACGCGCGTCTGCGTCACAACCTTCGGGATGTGCACGACCTGCAGGGCTTTGGGGCCTAAAAGGGCCGAACATGGCCCTTCATCCCTAGTTACGGAGTGCCCACAGCATTCCGGATGGGTTTCGCGTTAGGGCTTGGGGTTTGAATTTAGGGTATAGGGTCTACGGTTCACCCTGGGCACTAAGTCGCTAAATCCCAACTCCTAAACCGCAAACCCGAACCGGACCTCTTCCTGCGTCATGGGCACCGGAACCTCAACGATCTGCTCCACGTGCTGGTGCATCTGGCGCTTCTGGACCACCACCTGCTCAGGGCTAGATTCGCATTTAAGGTGTTAGAAGGTTTAGTTTGGGTTTAAAACGGTTTAAAGTTTGAGGCCTTTTACGGGTGTAAGGCTTAAGTTTAGGGTTGAGTGTTCAGAACATTGATGCTCCCTGCACCCAACACCCGAAGCCTTTCAGCTTCGCAGCTTAGGCACCGATTCGTCAGCAGAGCCCCCTCACCGGAATGAATCACCATAACGACCATGTTACTGGCGATATGGAAACTAGTGACTAGTGAAGAGGTGGCGTCAGCCAACATGGCAGAAACGTATTAAACCGCCAGCTTGAAGTAGATAGTCCCGAGATAGCTGAAACCTAAAGCACCGAGCCCCGAAACCCTCAACCCTATACCCACTTTACCCTAGCCCTAAGCCACGCGTGTCACAAGCATGAAACCCTCAACCGACACCACTGTGAAGACTGCAAGACCAGCTTTTGTGGCGAAGGATTGCAAGTTTCTTTGGGACGCTTTTCTGTCTTTTGTCTTGCCTAAAACAAGCATCTAAAGCCGCAAACCCCTAAAACTCTCAAGAGTCGGGGTTGGTAGCGAGGTCCATGCCTTGGGGACGTGAACCTGCTGCTCCTGCGGAAAGAAAGCTGCGCCAGTTCGGATTTCTGTTGAGGGCCTTTGCTGCGAGATAGCACGAAGGGTTTAGGGTTAGGGTTTTTGGGATTTGGGGTTGAGGGTTGTTTGCAAGGAAGCAAGTCGGTTAGGGCTGTGTCGAAACAGGTTTTTTGGGCAGTTTTGAGGTGTTAGGGCTGCGGGAGAAGCTGCCACGATGCTGAGAATCTCCCACATCGCCACCCTCCGCGAAGAACCCAGATACAATCTGCCGTGCTTGAACAGTAGCTGAAGGCTTCAGGGATTGTAGCTAAAAATCCACGTCAATGTAATATGATGGGCTTAGACCCTAAACCCTAAACCCCAAACTCTAAACCTAAGCTTAGTAATTAGAATAAGGTTTTGGGGTAGGAAACCCACAAAATAGTACAGGTGATTATTAAGGCCCTTATGTTACCACCGCATCAGCTCCTGCTGCATCGGCACGGGAACCTCGACGGTTTGCTCGACGTGAACATGGTGGTGACCTCTGAATCTTCTTTGAAGGTTTGGGAATAGGAGTTTAGGGTTTAGGGTTTAGGGTTGTGGAGTTTGCGAGTCAGGGTGCAGGGCTTAGATTCTGGGGCGAGGGGCTTTCTAGGTTCTTTATTACTTCAAGGTTCATGGTGATAAATATGGTAACTATACTTACAACTAGGTATGTACCCACTTAAAATATTTCTACTTGTACTTAATAAGTCCCATGAACCTCCCAGTGTTGAGGACCCTAAACCCTAAACCCTAAACCCACTGCAGACAAGGCGTTCAAGGCGTAGGGTTCAGGCCTGGGCTTTGTGGGTTTACTTGGAGGATCATGGGAGACGGGGTAAGTTAGTAAGTAACTTAAAAGGCTCCTTAACGGGATCTTTCAGGGGGCTCTTTTGGGTTTCTGATTTCTATGAGGATACTGTCGGGGTACTTGGAGGATCATGGGACCTGCCTAGGCTTATAAGTAATTCTAAGTATGGCTACCGTAATAATACCCCTAGTTGCTAAGTCCCATGATCCTTCAAGTAAGGATCGCGTGATCGCGCAATCAGTTGGCAAATTCGGGATACGTGGGGTAATTTGTAAACTCTACGGAATAATGTTGGTACTTCTATATGAGGCGAAACTCCAAAAGGCTGCTGTGGAGAATCCCAGAACTCGACTTCGGGTACATCACTTGCAACTGCCAGCGCAGGGCAACTATCCCCGGCATTACGCACAACCCTGATCACCAAGTGACACAAGTAAGCTAAACCCTAAACCCTTTGACGACAAGGTCTGCGATTCCTGGGGCCGAAGCGGGCTTGGGTCTGCGTCACTGGAACGTGCACAACCTCCTCAACCAGCTGAGGAACAGGGACATCGACCTCAGCTAAGTAAGGAATTTGCACATGCTGATTCTCTCCTGTCTGCACAAAAGGATTAATCGAAGTCATTGTCCAAACTGCGCAATTAGGAATCGCAATTCAGATCCTAGACATGCAGAATCAAATGTAGGACACGCAATACTGTGAGGCACCCCATTTATCATACATTCAGCTCATTGTGGTGTCATGCTGTTTTCTACTCGCTCTCGTCTGGCTTCGCAGCTCGATTAAATAAGGAACTCTTCAGGTCTCGATTGACTCTAACCTCTAAACCCTAAACCGTAAACCCTAACCTCTAAACCCCGAAGCCAAGATTCGTAAAAACCCACCCGTCACCCTTAAAACCCTAACCCTAAAACCCTCAACCCCAGAATCCCAACCCTGCGAGCTCTAAGGCTGCCTTTGCCCCACCCTCCATCCGAAGCCATGCATTTTGATCTCGATCTAGTAGGGTTAGGGTTTAGGGCTCAGGGCTTAGGATTTGGGGTTTAGGGTTTAGGGCTTAGGGCTTAGGGTGTAGGGTTTAGGGTTTAGGGATTAGGGCCTAGGGTTTGGAGTTTAGGGTTTAGGGCTTAGGGTGTAGGGTTTAGGGTTTAGGGCTTAGGGCTTAGGGTGTAGGGTTTAGGGTTTAGGGTCCTCTTGGTGGGCCCCTGACTTTAATGCCTCGCTGGAATCCGAACGGACAGCGGCCTTCCCCAACCCCAAACCCCTCCAACCTTTCCATTGGGGTAGGGGGGGTTGGTTGGTGATGGTTATCTCGGGTAATTGAACTGTTCTTCGGAAATAGTATATGCTGATAGCTGCACAGACGTATATATGTATGTATGCATGCATGCATGCATGCATGCATGCATGTCCGTCGGTCGGTCGGTCGGTCGGTCGGTAGGTAGGTAGGTAGGTAGGTAGGTAGGCAGGCAGGGGGGAGGTAGGTAGGGTAGGGTAGGGTAGGGAGGTAGGTAGGTAGGTAGGTAGGTAGGTAGGTAGGCAGGCAGGCAGGGAGGCAGCCAGGCAGGCAGGTAGGTAGGTAGGTAGGTATGAAAAGTTTACCTGCCCACATGCTAACACTTGACTTGCATACCCTCAACCCGAAACCCATGAAACCCTAACCCGAGACACTAACCGGTACTCTAACAGTCCTCATGTCCTACATCTTTATATAACCGAAAACACAACAACCCGAAATCAAAACCCGATCAAATCTGAAAGCCATATCAAAACTCGATCAAACTTGAAAGCCATAAAAACCCCAGACCTCAAATCTTTAAAGCCCTGTACCTTTCGCAACCCTGAATCCGTTCAGAGCTCTAAAGCTTGAATCCCGCAGAGCGTAAGCCCCAAGACCCCAGAGCCCAAAATCTGAAACCCGAACACTCCAAAGCCCCGCAATCCTCACCCCTACTGTTGATGATATAAATCCTGCACTACCTTAAGGACCCTAAACTATGGGAATTGTGGTATATTCCTTATTATGGGTAATGCAGGATTTATAATTATATCATTAACCGTACGAACCTTAAAAGCCCTGGGGCTTGAACACCCTACCAAGAAACCCAAAGCCCAACAGCCCGAATACCCTGAAGCCCTAAACAAGCCTGAATCAAACCCTCTAAAGCCCCTAAAGCCCTGGCCGCCCCCAAACCTAGTGTTCGGAGTTCAGGGTTTAGGGTTCAGGGTTCAGGGTTTAGGGTTTAGGGTTTGGGGTTCTGGGTTTAGGGTTTATTGCTTACGTGGCTTCTGGAAGTGTCTTTGAACCGCCGGAGCGACCCTCACAGAATGGAATTGTTACACTGGTTTTCCGTGTGGCACTTATAGATATCCGTAGCTTTCTTAACTAAATTTTTTGGAACGTTCTTTCAGGCATCACTCGATTGGTCTAGAGCGCTCATCAAGGTTTTGGGGTTATGGGGCTGCGGGCATGGGATGTGGAGTTCACATATACGGTCTACAGATACTCCTAATCAAATCGTTTGGGATATCACTGGCACACACTTCTTAAGCTGCATGCTTTCACTGAAGGGGCTTGCGGGTTGGAACTACGACGTAGACGAAGACCCAAACTATTTGTTGCTCAAGCACCGCAACTAGAAGCTACAGGTTTAAGGTTTACTTGGAGAATCATGGGAATCAGCCAATGAGGCTGGAAGTACAAAAAAAATCAGGGGGTAAAAAAGTTATGGGTAATTACAAATACAATTACATTATCTTTTGCCCTCGTTCCGAAGCCCCATGATCCTTTAAGTAGGGTTTGGGGGTTCAGTGGGTTAAGGGCAGAGCCTCAGGTTCGAGGGCTTCGGGTTGCGAGTTTGCAAGGGAGAGGCTTCGGGCTTCGGCTTATAGGGTTTCGGATCGAGCCTGGTTTAGGGTTTTAGGGCTTAGGGCTTAGAGTTTAGGGTTAGGGGTTTGGGGTTATGTAGGGGGTAGGGGTTTGGACACGTCATATCGCTCTAAATGGACGTGGAAGAAACCACGTCCGAAGTGCACAGCCTACAAACCCCAACCCCAAATCCACATCCCCAAACCCTGACCAAAAACTCCAACAGCCACAGCCCTAAACCCAAATTTCCTGAACCCTGAAACCCTACCCCATCAGCCCAGAAGCCCCTGCACCCAGAGCCCGTATCGTAACCCTTGCACTATTTGTGGCAACCCGTCTAAAAACTTGCTAGTAATCCTTATAGTAATCTTCATATTAACTCCCTGGTGACCCCAAACCCAAAGAAGGCCGCCAGGCTGCAACCTGCTCCACCGTGCGGGGCTTGACCTTTGGCTGGTGGATGATCTCGGGCACCTGAGGTTGCTTTGAGGCTATACGGAAACAGTTTTTCGGGTTTGGGGGGGGGGGGGGG